CCCTCCCCCCCCCCGCCGAAATCTGACTGAATCGGACAACGACACGCGTGCGTCATCATCACGCAGTACGCACGCTTTATCGGTTGATCGGTCGGTCAGCTGCCACCGTCGTCGTTGCCGCCGTCGCCGCTGCGCTTCCGCAATTGCGTAGCAATGAGTCACTGTAGTACCAGTTACATTCTCGCCGCCGATTCAGTCGTGCGCGATATACTGTGTTTCCCCGTGCATATACACGCGCCACGCGCCTTTCGCACAAGCTTGCATACGTCAACATTTCGACATGATGTGATCCACGGCGCGAACGTCTCTCAGCAGTCTCGGCTCTTCGATCATCCAGGATCGCCTTTGTCCCCGAGACACGTGGGCGAGGACCGATTCCTAAATCCGGTCGCTCGTGAACGATGAATTCGTCGACGCAAACCAGTGATGCGAACTATGAAGGAGACGATGAAAGCATCAATGTGTACGAGGATGACGGAGAGAGGCTGATCAAGCCGAGGAACAATTTCGCGTCGTATACCAACGAGGATATCAACGTGCGATTCCGGGTATGTCGAATTTTCTGCTACTTACTGTAAAAAGCATCATGCTTTCGTGCGTCTCTCGATGATGTTAGATTTCCAGATAAATTTTAAAATGATTCTAGCGAGTGTTGTTTTTAAAAATGTAATTATAAAAATATATTTAAAATATATTTATACAATATATATGTATATCTATATCTGTTTTATTTTGCATAGAGCACTGGCAACATTAACACAACACGTAGCAGCATAGAGGCTATCTCGGGTCAATTCAGAAGGCTGTATATCAGGGATATAACTCCAGGAGCGACTAATTTCATATCAACCAATTATGAGGTAATTGCTTGATGATTAACTTTTAATCATCGATCCAATCACCTTCTGACCTCATTTGAATACACATCTAGTTATGTTTATATATTTTGTACTATCTTATATCATCTCAGGGTAAGATAAGTTAATGATCGGGTAAAATTTAATGGCATCTTTTTTCCAGAGTCTGGATTATGACCCATGCGAAAATTATCTTTTGCAAGATGAGGAAAGAAAGAAGGGCTACAAGTTTATCGTTAGAAAGAACTTTGCCAGGTGGTTCATCTTTCTCTTGATCGGAATTTGCACCGCTCTCATAGCGTGTTTCGTAGACATATTAATAGAGCAATTATCTAGCCTGAAGTATGGGTGGCTTAAGAAATGTATGCTCCCTAACATACAATCTATGTAAACGTACACTGCTGCTCTATGATATACAAAATGATATGCGATATTTTGTGTCGATAGATGTGGACCGCTGTGTGACAGAAGGTTGCCTGTGGGTGCCATATTTGATGTGGTTAGTGCTAAATGTAGTACCAGTTTTCATTGGTGCCGTCTTAGTGTCCTATGTTGAGCCTGTGGCCGCAGGAAGTGGTATCCCGCAAGTAAAGTGTTACTTGAACGGCGTCAAAATACCGCGAGTTGTACGCATTAAAACTCTGGCTGTGAAAACCATCGGTGTAGTATGCACTGTAGTCGGAGGCCTAGCAGGAGGCAAGGTAAGCGACTCATCCTTCCGTTGTCTTTGTCACTTATTAGCGTCATTCATATCTCATGTACTTCCTCCAGGAAGGTCCCATGATCCACTCTGGCGCTGTCGTAGCCGCGGGGATTTCTCAGGGTAAAAGTACCACATTTAAAAAGGACTTGAAAATATTCGAATACTTCAGAGAGGATCATGAGAAACGAGAGTTTGTATCCGGAGGTGCTGCGTCTGGAGTATCGGCGGCTTTCGGAGCACCCATCGGTAAATGCTACTAAATATTAATGGATGTGTGTGTGTGTGTGTGTGTGTGTGTGTGTGTGTGTGTGTGTGCGCGCGCGTGCGTGTATGTGTGTGCGCGCGCGCGCGCGCGTGTGTGTTGTGTGTGTGTGCGTGCGTGCGTGTGTGTGTATGTGTGTGTGTGAAATATATATATATTTTTTTTCACATAAAATGAAAATAAAAATGAACGTTTTGATCTCGATTTTAATTTTATATGAAATTTGTTATTAATTTAGCACTAACGTTTTGCTTGGTTCATTTGTTCATTCATTACATAATTTGAAAGTATTATTAAACATTACAATATCATAGAGTATTAATATACTATAGAGTATTAATACTATAGAGAAATTAATATATATTACAAGAGAAACATGTTTTATAATTTACATTTTTATTTTTTTTTATTTTTTAGGTGGAGTCTTGTTCAGTATAGAAGAGGGTACTAGCTTTTTCAATCAGAGCCTCACATGGAGAACATTCTTCGCCAGCATGATCACCACGTTCACTTTGAACGTGATCCTGAGCGCGTACCACGGCCACCTCGGAGATCTTTCATATCCTGGCCTGCTGAATCTAGGAAAATTCGATTCGATTCCATATCAGATCTACGAGATACCTCTATTCATGCTAATGGGCACGTTCGGCGGATTGCTCGGAGCTCTTTGGAATCACGTCAATTACAAGATCACCTGCTTCCGATTGCGATTTGTGACGCGAAAGTGGCAGAAGGTTATCGAGGCTCTCCTGGTGGCGATACTAAGCGCGACAATGGGATCCTTGATGATATACTTTGTAAATGACTGTAAACCGTTGGGAAATGATCCTACCAAGTTTCCGGTTCAAATGTACTGCGCGGAAGGGCAGTACAATGCAGTCGCCTCTTTGTGGTTTCAAACCCCGGAAAGCAGCGTACGATCTTTGTTTCACGATCCTAAAGGTATGCGATACGCAATGAGCAATAATAACGTGATCAAACGGAAAACATAATATAAATTACGCATTTGCAGGAGCTCACAATGATCTTACGCTGGCCATCTTTGTTGTATTGTATTTCTTTCTTGCTGCCACGACTTTCGGCCTATCAATGTCAAGCGGCCTTTTCATCCCCTCTCTATTGATTGGATCCGCATGGGGTAGATTAATTGGATCGGGTCTCGCGAAGCTGTGCCCAAATTGCGTAAGAATTGTGAATTTAAAGCTTCTGTTCACTTATCACTATTATCTTAGATTGTGAGGTCAAAGGCGAGAAAACAATGAAAATTCTTGCGAATTATATTTGAGTAGAACTATTTTTCAATAAAACATTTGTAATCGATAGAATAGACTTATGAAGTATATCGAAAATTATCTGTTTCGGGGAGAAATTAAATCATATTTTTATATTAGAGACAGTTCATCATAGCTGTGAAATAATGAATTTTGTCTTTTTGATTATGCATGAATCATTTTCACATATATAGTAATTTATTAATTAATGAAACAAGAGTCTTTGGTATTTTACAAGTCGTTTCTCTCTTTATTGATTGTAAATGCATTTATTGAAACATATTAAATCATTTTAATATAAGATAATGTAAGTATTGTTTTATTATAACATATTTTTATTTTAATATACTTTGCAAAATTTTGTATAGTACAATCTAATAGTAGCAGTGAGTGAACAAGAGTCTTAAAGCTGGGCAAGCGTGCAAAATAAAATAATTACTATAACAATTACATATATAATTTTGTATTGCAGGAAGTATTAGATCCTGGCAAGTACGCTTTACTAGGTGCTGCAGCGCAATTAGGAGGGGTAGTTAGAATGACGATAAGTTTAACCGCAATCTTAATAGAAGCAACTCAGGGAATATACTTCGGCTTGCCTGTTATAATAGTTCTTATAATGGCAAAGTGGGTCGGCGATTTCTTTAATGAGGTAAGTATTGCATACGCTACACTCTTTCTATTAATATCATCCGCTTATGTTTTTTTAATAAAATGTTTACCTCATAGGGAATTTATGATATTCACATACAAATGGCAGGAATTCCATTGCTTCCGTGGGAGCCGCCTCCGCTCTCAAATAATATTTACGCAACCGAGATAATGAGTCATCCTGTCGTGGCTTTGAAAACCACCGAAAATGTCGGGCATATTGTCGAGCTTTTGAAATGCGTTACATTCAATGGATTTCCGGTAGTTGACCCACCAAGTAGCGATCAGGTAATAAGCAAATATTGAATGTTTCAAATAATTTTGTACATTTATTTTGATCGTTTTTTTTAGGCCGAGATACATTCATATGGTCGACTCCGTGGTTTAATACTGCGTTCCCAATTAATAGTACTTTTAAAAAATAAGGTATTTAATGAATACGAGGAGTTTTGGGAGAAACCTTTAACTATAAATATGTTCAGAAATGAGTACCCTAGGTATCCAACCATTGAGCAAGTCGCTATCACTGATGAAGAAAAAACTTACACGCTTGACTTGAGACATTTCATGAATCCTTCCCCATATACAATACAACACGTTAGTAGTTTTTACGTTGACATCTTTTTTTTTAATACGTCCAAGCATTTTAGACTTGTATAATTTTTTTCTTTAGTCCGCCACACTGCCAAGAACATTCAGACTCTTTAGAGCATTAGGATTACGTCACGTACCAGTAGTAAATGATACTAATGAGGTAAAAACGAAATTCTGCATTCTATCATGATAACTGCAGACTTTATTAGACTTTATTTGTACATATTTATATATTTTCCATTTAGGTAATTGGTATTATCACTCGAAAAGATGTTGCCAGATTCAGGATATGGAAGCATCGTGGAAGAATGGGATTGGACGAACTTTTAATCACTAACAAGATTTAGTTTGTTTTTAAGAATCTATTTTCCTTGAATTTTATCGTGTTTAGGCTTTTTTTAAATATTTCTGTGTATTTTATTATGTATAAAAATTTTAGATATGTATGTATACACATATAAATTGTTAACTAGGCTCGTGAATATAATTTGGCAAGATTATATGTGGAAATAATGCATAATTGCATTGAAAGAAGTATGTAAAGGTCTTTCCACATATATTTATTTGTGTATGTATGTATGTGTGTGTGTATGTGTGTGTACATATAAGTTGTGATATCATTTGGCTCTGTATGGTATTTTAGTAGTACCAAAGTTTTAATTATTTACAAATAATTCCCATCCAAGCCATGACCAAAGCTTAAAAAAAAGATATACGGGTAGAATAACTAATAGTAATAGAAAATAGTATTCGTACGACGATACGTACATGTCTCGAACAGCTTTAATATTTTATCCCGTCGATTAATTCTCTAATGAGATACTATTTTTATTTAATACACTAGAAATCTTTATATACCCAACCTGAAACAAAAACAAAGTATTCTATTGTATAATGAAAAATACATTTATTTATTTTTACAATATCTTATATAATTTCTATTGAACCTCTCTTTTAACTGTGCCAACTGTAGCGTTGATTTTCCAGAAATCATATAAAATGTTTCGAAATCGTATATTAATACTTAAAAAAGTAAATTTATTGAACAAGTAAAAAGAAAAATTTGAATACAAATTATATAAAATGCTAAACTTAAAATATGAATTTAAGACTTCAAAACAAACAAAATTTTCCTGTAGAAAGTTTGTAAACGCTTCTTTTAAGAGATATTAACTTCTTAAGTTACAGAAATATATAATAGAAGTAATGTCGAGATAATCTAGGTTGATGCTCTTTATTGCTTAGCAATAATTAAAATGCAATTATTAAATTTATATTGTTCAAAATGGTAGTTTCTAGCTCTGAGACAAGCATTGCACCTATTGATTAGAAAATGAATGACTGACATTGTGCATCTTTAATTTCTTCCTACGCTTGCATTATCATTTTAATGATTGAAGATCATTAACAGGCACTTTCGATTTTCAAAATTAAGAGATACTTTGACATTATATTCATTCCTATAGTTCTGTAATTTAAGAAGTCAATATTTCATAATTAACAGAACGTTTGAGAGCAAACTTTCAGAAGAAATTTTTGTTTGTTTTAAGGTCGTAAATTCGTATTTCGAGTTTGGTAATTTAACTCAAGAGCACTCTGTACGTACATTATAAATCCTTCTAAATTATTAGAAGATTAAAGGTAATGAAAAAAATATTTATTGCTTTGATATAAGTTCTTAATACATATTTTAATTCATTATATGTAACATATATTCGATTTAATGTTTTATTCACAGAAAAAGATATATTGGTGGCAACTATAAAAGTGACAACTATAATTATATAAGTTTTATAAGTAGAATTAAGGTACATAATTGAATAAACTATTTTACAATTGTAATAGTTATAAAACTTTATTCAGCTATATACATTAATCCACACGCACATATAAATCCAGTTGTTTACTTTATAATTATCATCACTGTATCTTTTTTTTGAGTCCTAGTTTTTTATTTTCTGGTTAACTTATGGTTTAACATGATAATGTAAAGTTATTTTGCTATCAATAATTAATCATTAAAAATTTATTTTGTAGTGATAAGTTTAAAATTACAACTAATCAGTTTAATAATTAACCATAGATAGTAAAATAATTTTTATATTATAATCAGATAAGCTTTAGGTTATCTGATTATAGTACCTAAACCACAAGTTAAAAAAATGAAAAACTGGGCGAATGTAGTAATCATGTCTGCAATCAGATTCTTGAATTTCCTTTAATCTTCTATAACTCAAACATTATATTCGTGTAAATTTTTTATTCAAAATAAACTTATTCTTTGAAATATTAATATTTACGAATCACTGCAAATTTATCGTTTAATGTATAGATATTTATAAACCACTCTGTATAATTCATAAATTCTCCACGTTAATTGCGATTTTTAATATCGCATAATATCGTATGTATGATATTTAAATGTCCTAAATGCTTACGTTTTTTTTTTAATTTTCTAAAGGCAGACATGTGTATTATTTGGCATCACTTTACGCAAGTGTCAGACATCACATTGCGTTGCGGCTGATGTGCCGGCGTATCTTTTTGTCCTTCTTGAAAATATGGACTCCAGCTGGAAGGAGTCACGACGTTGTGAGAAACGTCGGAAAGAATACGGAGTATCGTCGCAGCTTATTTTCTATCGCGGAATGGCGAACCGTCATAGTTCGTTCAATTCCATCGGAGTGTTCGCTCCCTCTTCCGATTTCCCTCAGCCGGCCATTAACGTCTCGGCGCGCGATATATATGTAGAACGCACGCGGCGCGGCCTTTAAGACGGGACTACGTAAGGATGCGAAACGCGGGTGGATAGGCAGGCAGAGGCGCCAACGGACGGTCAATAGTTTCGCGGGTCGTACACCTGTCTGTCGCGAGGTTGCGGACGATAGTAGGAACTGTAGGAAGGGGTTATGGTCAATAAACGCAACCACGTCACACGCAGCCTATCGGCGGCGGCGGCGGCGACGGCGGCGGCGGCGGCGGCGGCGGAGGCGGCGACGACGACGACCCCGCTTGGCCCCTTAAAGTGGCTCCGTCGCGAAAATCTTACGTGTCAGCCGATACTGTCTTTGTGCGCCTGTTTCACGGGATAAATCGGGTAAGGGCCGCGCGGATCGACGTGGGACGCAGATCGGCGGACGCGGCGCGCGTCGAAGAAGCCGCGAATGGGTGTCGCGACCCCATGGCCGGCCGATCTCGCGCCAAGGTGAGTCAACAGCGCGTCTCGGCGGATCGGCCGAAACGCATCCGCCATTGTCGATCGGCCGCGACAGGAGGGGAAGGGACGCGTAGGGGGAGGGAGGGAGTACTCCGCCGCGCAAGGAAAAGACGACGTTCTTCTTAGCTCGGCGCGCGCATGCGCTCGTCTGTCCGCATGTGTCCGATGGTGGGCATGTCCTGACGACGCCGACGCGAGACGGACGCCTCGTTTCTTTTCGAACTTTTCCGTCCCTGCCTGCCGCGTACATACGCACTACAAGCACGCACACCGGGCGATGCAGCTCGTGGATACGACAAGAAGACGCAGCAGACCGAGACAGCGACGAAAAGATTTCCGAGATGATCGCGTAATAATTTCGAGCGTGGTTTCCCGTAAGTTCGTCGTCGACTCACAGTCCGATATCCTTCGCGCTTTTCTAACGGGAAAGTCGGTAATTCACGTCCTCCGGTTAGGCTGTGCGAGAATATCGGAGTAATGGACGTTAACGGTTTTCGATAACGATACGATAATCATCTTGCGAGTTGTCGCGACCTGGTTGTTATGTCGTGACGCGATTAGTGTTCGACGTGTCTTCCGTTAGGAGGTTAGGTTCCACAGAGGTTCAGTAGATTTGTTTTTTTTTTATTGCTGTACTGCACTAAAATTTTCCATTTCGCTCACGCCAAATATCAAGCACACCTGTTTAAGCACGAATAGTGTACACTAATTCAGCTGTAAAATATATATATAAAATAAATCTAATGCCATTGCAAATATTCAGAAAGATCGTACTTTATTATCATGCTCCTCGTTTTTACTTGTAACACTTACCTGTCTGTTTCAGATGCTTGATGGACTATTTCTTGAGTTGTGGCACGCGTGAAATAAACGAACAGCATTGTGGTTGTTAAAGAGAGTCGAAGAAATACACTCGGATTTGTTTCAATTGTTTTACACTATTTTAGACCTTGTAATTTGAAACTCTGAAAATGAGAGAATGCACATGGGACAGAATCGATGCCAGTTGTGTTAGTGTATTAAGCTCAATGCCAGAAAAGGATCTTGCCTTGAGACAGTGAAGGAAATGCAAGATAATAGATGTCAGAGACAGGGGAGGAACGTGCTGTTAGATTGTATACGGCTGCGGAGATAATGAAAAACGCCAGAGCCAAGGAAACTGAGGAGCAGGCGGCCTTGAGGAGGATGCAGGAGGCTCAGCGGATGGCTAGGCATCGCGCCAAGAAAAAGCGTTGCCTCGACGAAAATCTCGCGCGGGAAATTTCTAAGATCGCCGAACTGTCCAAGACTCCCATTCCCGATTCCACTATGATAGCCCAGATGTCAGAGATGAATATGAATAAGATATCTGCAGAATTGAAGCAAATGATGGAGAGGGGAAAAGTACCTGAGCATATAGTTCAAATGGCTCAACTGGCGGAGTTTAACAAAATGAATTCTGAGTTAAGCAAGATGTCACAGGACATGGCGAAAAGGTACGAAATGGAAAAGATGGCAGAATACGCCAAGACTACGGAGTACATAAAGATGCAGGAGATCGCCAAGATGAACGAGATGGTGAAACTTTCTGAGATGGCCAAGTATAACGATATCACCAAGATCAACGAGATGGCGAAGATGAATGAGATGATGAAGATATCACAGATGGCCAAAATCAATGAGGTACAGAGAATGAATGAGATAGCAAAGCTGAATGAGATGGTGAAAATGACGGAGATGGCGAAATACAATAATGACATCACAAAGCTGACTGAATTCGCGCAGATTAATGAGATGGCGAAGGAAATCGCGAAGATGAATGAGAAGACGAAGATGAACGAGATGATGAAGATGGCGAATATGCAAAACGACATCGTCAAGATGGAGAGAGCGGATTATCAGAATGTCAAAATGACAAATGAGATGGTGAAGCTGAACGAGCTGGCCAAGATGAATGAGATAACGATCACGAAGTTGAACGACCCGCCGAAAATACCTGAAATCCCACCGCTGCCACCGCCGCCGCGTATCCCCGAACCTGTGATCACCGTGCCAAATCCAAGGAATCTGCAGAATGTGCAGACCGTGCAAGTGGCACAAGCCAGCCCGTCCAGCGTGCTTAACTACCAGACTGTGCCCGGCCAGAACAATTACGGCAAATTGTTAAATATCATCGAGGAGCTCGGCAGGGATATCCGTCTGTCGTACGCTGGCAGTCGCAGTGCTGCCGAAAGGCTGAAGAATGGCATTCAGCAGGCCAGAATCGCCGTGCGGGATTGCCTGCACGAGACGCAGCACAACGCGCAACAATGATCTATCGACGCGAACTAGATAGCGATTAGACTACTTTATAGCCTTCTGTCATTTCACGAGACGTTGCTTTGTACGAATTGCTTACATTCGGACTGTGGTATTAAACACGACGGTATATACATACACTTGTATAATAGATTGAAATTCCATTGCAGACATGAAGACAACATTGGTAAGAGAGAGCAATAGTTGGTCAGATGCTTTCCTTGTTCAATTGTGTAGTTGGATTGGTAGAGAAGAGAAATAGCCTTTTTTTGTAACAGAAAAGCAACGGACTATGTATATCTCTATCCTTCAATGTTGTCTTCAGCTGCCACATATGAATGCGCAGTATATTATAAGTTTATGGGTATACACGATGATGGACGTACATATATAGGTCGAGCATTTTTTTCTTGAACAAAGCCTTGAATGCTATTTTTTTCCATTCTACGTATCGCGTGCGGTCTCTTTTACTCTGTCTTCTCAACTCGATTCTTGCATGTACGTCATTCAAACAGCTGACAGTTTTCTACTTTTAAGTTGCAATTTAGTACATAGAAATAAAAGGGAAGGTACCACAATTTGTATACATATACACTGTACTACTTAGAGAATATTAGAGAGTCTTGTAGTTTATATTTTATTAAAAAAAAGAAGACAGAAGAAGATAATTATACCATAATTTTTGTTAAGACTCGCTGCAAGTTTTTAGTATACATTTTGAGAAAAAAAAGGAAAAGGAGAATGCAAGATAAAAGCTTTTCAAATATGTATCTAATGGAAAGTATAATCCTCCGTAAATATATCCCATAATACATCGTTAAATAAATAAAAATTTTGTATACAACGTGGGCAATGTGGTCGTTTTTCTTTCCTTGAGTTGCCTGTTGGAAACAGAAATTTTTTGTTCATTAAGTTAAGAAATCATTTATTACTAATATCCATTCAGTATTTATATTAGATCAATAGGAGTGATATTGTCACAATAAAAATTAAGCTCTAGTATAATAATTAAATGTGAATCATCCAGTTCTATTTTAAATTCCTTGTGTTTATATTTGATAAATTAAATTGTTATTTTTAACAATTTCAACTTGATAATTGATCGGAATAATCATGAGAATAATGGAGCACTTGTGGGTTTTCAGAAAGCACACAGAGTTCAGAAAGAATTCCTTCGTATATTCAATCGTATGTCATCAATTCTGAGTTCATTATCTCTATTAAGCCAGCAGGACTAAATAAGCAAAATCAAACCAGATATTCAATTTTTTGGTACTCATTTTGTACTAATTTATACCACCAATAAAAATTTTGTACTTCGTGCCGTTTTGAAGAAAAATGTGGCGCTTATGGTAGGAATACAATAGAGACCTTTTACTAAGGCTGCGTTCCTTTTGGAGCTTACAGCGCTTATAAGCATCATTTGTC